TTTAGGCGCCGCAAGCATCTGATTTCAATGGCATTAATATTTGAATCCGTGAGTAAAATAATTCACCTCGAAATAATAGTTCGAATAAAATATCTAAGATTTTTATTATTTTTATTAAATATCGCTAAAATTGACAAGTTCGTATAATATCATTCAAATCAACTCAACATGCTCTATGTTTTGTAAACATTGTTTACCCATACATATAAGATACAAGCATACTAATTATTTCCATATAAATATCAGCTTAAGTAGTACTTCTGAATGATAGTTATTATTTATTATCATTGTTTACATTTTTATACGAGTACCTGTAACGTGGTCGGGGGAACGACCAGTTAAATATAAGATACCTAGTGAGAGTCGTAGGACTCTATAGATATAATTACCGTAGCCAGGGGTAGATATATATATATATATATATAACAAGATCTTAAATATATTTAAATAACTAGAATTCCGTTTCAGTTATCATTAAGTTTTATTATAGATTAAACACTTACAAATAATAATACTCACAAGTTATATAAATTATATTCTATCCAACTATCTGACTGTATCGTAGTTATACGGAGTTCAATGTTTTGTTGAGTGTTGAGGTCTAAGGTACACAGTGAACTAACTTACTTCATACATGGTGTGTATTGACCATAGGCCTTACAGTTWTGAATGTGTGTTAATATTATTGTATTGGTCAGCAGTTCATGTACATAATGTTAAGTGTGTAGATGTGTAGTACATATTATAATTGTTACATACCTATACCACTTATTCTGTCATATTTGCATTCTAAATAACTTGACTAAGGTACTTTATAAAAAATGCGAAATAGTTAAGTTAGTTATTATAATTTAACTATATTGAGGTAAATTGATATTAAAATGCAATACATTTTAAATTTAAATTTATAACTGAATTGATAACACAAAAGATCCGAAAAGGTATCTCGTAGAGGACTGGAGAAGAATGGTTTGAATAAAATATACACAACGGGTGGCTTATAATAAAACTCCATGACGCCAAAATATTAACCTAACAATGAAAAACAATATTTATATAAATAAAGATAATTTACCGTAATATAAATATTGCTGGTAGTAAAGTTTGTATCAGATATTTCAATGTAACGAATACATTTTACTAAAAAAAAAAAAAAACAGAAACTATTTTTATAATGAGTCCACACTGTATGTCTGAAGGTTTGATATTAATATAATTTTAATTTATCAATGTCTTTTGAAATTTATAACAGCAAAGATATATGGATATTGCATGTATTCTAGTATTTAAATAAAAATATTTGGGTAAATCGTATTACATTTTGTACAATTCTTAGATTTCAAGTGAGAACTTTAAGTATTGTATTAAACGATGTATGTTATTTGTTGTTGTAAATTGTAAATTTCYGAAACAATACTTTTTGCGTATGTAATAAGTAAATCAAAATTTAAAAAAAAAGCACCTTTAATCAATTGAAAAAATATAACTACTTCTCTTGGGGTGTGGCAAACATAATAATAATTAAATAAATGTAATATACGAGTTTGTTTTTAATTTTTAAGAATTCCTTAAATAATTTAATAGAATTTTGTAAAAACATAATTTTTTGTTTGATCAATACATTTTTACATAGGCATTATTTATTTTATTGCTAATATTTGTTAAAAACGAATATCAAAGAAAAAAATACGTTTATATATACATTTAACTCTGTACTTACTTTGATTGTCAATTATTGTGGTACCTACTATTTTAAAACAAAATACATGAAGCCGGACAATTGGTTACCAACTATTACACAATAGCCTGATTAAATGAAATTTATCTTTGAAAATAGATAATATAGGCCAAGTTCATTCGCTAAATTAATATGTTTAAAACTACAGTTAAACCAAATACATTGTGGAATAAATGGAAAAATGAATCTACAAAGAACAGGAGTACAAAAGGATGTTTGCAAAGTAAAATTAGTATATTATGTTCATAGAAAGGCAATTAAAGTGGCTTCTATAATATAATAGTGTGAAACATGTTTGGTGTTTCRAATGAGTTCTTCAAGGATAGGAATAACGATAGATTTGGAAACCGTTGCATAAAAAAAATTTCAAAGCATCTTTAGCTAAAACGAATGAATTATAATTATTCATGTTGAATCGATCAAAATTTCACGAATAGGTATTTACTATTTTCTGGGAAAATAATATAACAACGATGGCATCGACTAACCAAGAATACAAACGTGTAAAAATTTTGAAATCAACCACAGGAAACACATCATAATATCAACCATAATTTTATTGTTCATCATTATTTCGTTATTTTATCATTATTATTTATTAATTTTTTTTTTCTCAATAAAGGTTGCAGGATACACCCTCGAAATATTCCCATTAATATTAACCCTTATTTTATATAATCCCAATTATTAAATTTTATTAAATATACCACACATGTCAAATCAGCTATCGTACTTTAAATTAAATTTTAATTATTCATTACTATTTTTTCATATTATAATTATAATAATTTTTAAAGCAGGCATCTAACATAAGCATACACAATTGATACTTAGTACTTAAATAAACTAGTTTTAGATGTAAACACCAAAGGAACATTCAGAAGTTGTTAGATTTTTACAAACAAGGAAACCATCAGATCCCATTAAAATTAATAGCTAATTTTATTACAACTTTAAAAAGAATTTCTTAGAGCTGTAATAAGAGGTTGTTTTTTTATTTTATACAATGCATTTTAAGTAAAATACAGAAGAATGGGATTCGGAAAATATGGTCAAGATTCTGATTTTTATTACAAGTTATCATTTTTATTTGTTSACATTTGTATTATCAGGCAGTAGGCACCCATAATAAAACTACCAAAGCCTTTGATAAACTTATTTAATCAGAATATATTTCACACAAAATAAATAACACCACTGCGTATAACCTCTTATCAATTATGATGGATTTCTTACCATTAATATATTTAGATTTATATTTAAAATTCCAAATATGTATGAATTATATATGCCTATGTTAGATAGATACCTCAAAAAAAAAAATTTCAATAATATTAAATAAATAATAATGAATAATGACTGATGAAAATATAATTTTAAGTACGATAATAATGTTGATATACTGAATTATGTTTATAATTTAATTTAATATTGAGATAAGAAATAAGGCATGATATAAATCGAGAGATTTCATACGTATGGGATATTTTGAATCATGTGATAATATATGAGGGACAGGGGCGTATTTAAGGGAGGGGCACATGGGGCCCGTGCTCCCCCATTCGCCGTATTTTATACTTAATTTTATTATATGAGAAATTTTACAACTCTACGCCCCATGTACACAAATTAGAACTTTTTGCTTGTGGGCCCCCCCTTAAGACATTTCTAAATACGCCCCTGATGAGGGGAATCCAGTTGACGAAGGCAAAATATGGCACATGTTGACGAATTTTTAATTGCACTCTAATCGTTAAATCTAACACTCAATGAAAGAATAATTTCTAAATAATGAAATTAGGCATACAAAGTAATTATTTGTTAACAATAAAATGTTGACTAATTGGATCTCAATTCCTTGATATAGTTTTTAATTTACGAAATATCTTATTCCATACTCTCAATATTCACATTAACGTGATACATGTTTATTTTCTTCGATTGATGTGGTTCAAAAATCAAATAGAGTAATACGTTAGAAAATTAAATTAGTACTGCTTTTGTTTCACTAAAACTAACAAATAAGTACACTGTACACATAACATTATGGTATTTAAAAATTATATTATGATACAGTAATAAAATTAACATTAAAAATATAATGAATTGGCAAATAGATCCGATTATAAACGAGATAATACAAAAATATTCTTATAAGTACTTAACCTAGCTTCAATCAGCACAAACAAATAAATACATTTATTGATATTACTAGGGGCACGTGAAAGTTTTTTTTTAAACATGGGCACAACCCGTTAAAGTTTCATCACCCATGATACCTATATAGATAATATAGAAATATAGATACAGTAGTTAAATCATATTCATATGAATATTATGTATATTATTATACATAGGTATCTTCGAAAATAATATACTTATTATTTCTTAACATAACTGTGTTGCGTTCCAAGAAAACAGACTAGAGTTTTTTCGAATTAATCAACGATCAGTTTCCCTAAACAACCTGTACTACCTGGTCATTATGCCTGTCGGGGCATCCTAAATTATTTGGAAATGTTACGCCAGGTCAACTGGTAACACTGAATTTTAACAATTTAATTTTAAATATTATTATAAAACTCATCCATTCGCCTTGAAAACAGTTAAACATAGCACCTATAGTTATCTTGGCTCTCGGCTTTTGTCACAAATAATAATTGGGTACAAAATATATATTTATATAAAACAGTGTAGTCGTTTACAACAATATTAAGAAATAACCAATGTATTTTATGTTAAATCTTCGTTATGATAAATATCTTCTTAGTTGGATATTACATCACGTTTTAATTATATTTCATATTAACATTTAACATAATTGTTGGTATAAACGATAGTTTTCAATATAATATTGTTTTTGGAATACTGATTTTATTTCAAYACTATTTTTGGAACAAATCTTAACAATCAAGTTATAAAAATGATAWAGGTAAATTTCAGTGTCACAGTGTCACCAGTCGACCCATCGTAAAATTAAACAAACGAACAACATTTTAATTTATAAAAATTGACTTATCCTTTTTCACGAACGCTGCGCCGCCTAATTAATATTCGTATTTTTAGATTTATATTATAATAGATTATGTTATAGACATCACGCGGGTAATAAACACAAACTCACCTGGTCCAGTCGCTGCACCGATGGTAGCCAAAGTACGGGTATCTTGTAGTTAGTCGCCGTCAGCGCAGGCATCGATCCGACCGGTTCGGGTATGAGCAGCAGACACGCGACGATCGTCTTGTTCGCCCACAGGTCAAGCACTGCTTCCAGGGCRCCCGTGCTGAACTTATTGGCTGGCATCTCCGCGTACAGCACCCGCACCGACGGCGGCATCGCCCTGTCCATGGTCCTGGGCAACAGCGAACCTTGGTCGTGACCGTGGATAACCGATACGTAAACATGGTTGCTGTACGCAACGAATTTGCGGTAGTCGGGAATACCGAAAAACCAAAATCAATTAATTAAAATGCGTTTGTGGTTTTTCGTAAAATTTCAATTATTATTGTTCTAAAATAATCGATGGGTGACAACGTGACGTAATGCCATTATCGCAAGCCGTACGAAAATCGATTTTCGACACACTAATGGCGTCTTCACGACGTTAACTAGCTAAGAACAAAGTACGTATGTTTTAAATTATCTATAATATATTTTAATTACGTACCTGTGTGACAAGATGAATGGCAAAAGCGTCAGCGCCATTATCAGCGCCACGAACGTTGACTTCATTTTTCTGTCAACACGAAAAAAAAACGTAGTTATTCATAAATTTGAAATATTATTGAAAGGCATTATAAAAATTTTATGCAACGACCAAAGGGGAAATTGAATAATATACCTACAACATCACCTACATCCGGAAATCATAATATATTATATTTTTAGAGTGCTAGAGTTAAGCTAGAGTTTAAAAGATATTATAATTATTTCAACGTAGGTGTAAATGTATGCATAAAATATTATGAATGCCTTTATAATTATGATTTAYCGTATAAAATATTCACGTTTAGTTGTTTTTAACACAGGTGATTATGGTTTGGTATAAATATGTGATAGACTGATAGGTTAGGTCACCTCGTCATGTGACCACTTGGTGTTAAGCAATATTTTATATATGTATATGTATAAATAGCTGCAACTTTCACGGGTCGAAACAAAATATTGACAATGACTCATTTAGACTATTTTACTGAACTTCGGTATAAATAAGTGTATTTTGAACCAATTTAACAATATTATTATTATTATAATTCATACTTTTAAGAAACTAAAATATTATTACATTCTAGTTTTGGCTAACGTCTATTGTGATCAATTGTATTCGGTTTTATATCGTTTTGAAAGTTAAAATTTCTTCATTATTATACAGATTGGTAATCAATTAACAAACTGTATAAAGTACACTTAAGACATTTTTGAATGAAAGATTATTTTTAAGCACTCTTATTATTACGAACAATATATCGATATGTAATGGTAATTTATGATTTACTTATTAATATATATATGTATATATATATACAACGAAAAATATAAATAATAATGTTTTCATATATATATATATATATATATATATATATATATCCGATTCGTGTTACATGTACGAGTATATGTCACACTTGTTAGTTTGGTGGAAATAGAAAATAATATAAATGAAATAAAAATGTAGTAAAACCCGTCACATATCTGGAGTGTCCCTGGAGTCTATAATATGGTGCCCGGATGTCTTTGATTGATGTAGAACCATTTAATCTATTCTGTGGTAGAACCGCAAGTGGAAAGAATAGAATATACCTATCTACCTATAGTTATTCAGACATTCAGGTTTATACTTCAATTTTCATACAGATTGTTTATTTTGGAGAAGAGTCAAGAATTGCTCTGAAAATTCAAATAGCGTATAAAGTACCTATACCATTTTTTTTTCTATTCGATGCTCCGTTGAATTTTAAATTGCTTAAAATAGTTTATGTGTTTAKTAACTTTAATACAATGCTTTTGAAAAAGATTCCTCTCGTATACTATAATATTGTTATCTATTTTTGTAATTATATAAGTACCTAAGATAAATTCAAACATATATAAGTTGTATAAGATATTAGTTCAAAAATAGTGAACCTAAATTGGCTAAATTACATTTTAAAATAAACTTGATGAGTTTTTAAATTTAATCGATTATAGTTTTCTATTCCATCAAAAATTATTTTAATGTTATTATTAATTAATAATCAGAAGTATAGGGCTTTAGACTTTAAAAACGCACATAATAAAATAATATAACATAGACTGTTCATAAATAATAAATATACGCACTAATAATATCCAGTATAAATAACAAAATATGTACACAAAGTTATTTATTAACGCGATTATAAGGTAATACAAAGTACGTACTGAGTTCCAATCTTTACGAAATTCATCAAAATTACTGAAATATTTGTAAACTATATTAGACTAGAAAATTCAAATTATTTTTAGTATTGATACCTTAATATTTGGACTTGTTAATTTAATACAAGATTCGTCGTAAGTTTCTTACTGGAATTACAAAAAAATGTGTGACTAAAGCCATACACATTTTTATGAGCATTTTAAACTAAAATGTTGATGATATTGGTTATCTGTTCAAACGTATAAAATAACGATTTATCCTCTAACGATTTTAGTGATTATTTTATAATTAAAAAAACATTAATAACATGGATTCAAAATATTTTTCCATTTCGTATATTATTATTTTTCTGTATAAAAACAAATTTTCAAAATGTATGGACGAATTTTATGCTATGTATACTATGAAGGCATCAACTTATTATTCATGGTAGTCTAACTGTCTAACATACCTACAAATGCTCAGAATCGTCTTTCATGTGATATGATTTATCATTGAGTTAAAATTTAACACATCCATCACCTAACCTCTAAATAAAAAGTTATATTTGAAACCTACCTATACTATACACTATACCACTATATGTCTATACAGAGATACAGCAGACCGACTTTCTTGGTTTTTATCTTCTATTTGAACTATATTGGTGAACAATTAGAGCAGAAATATTTAAAGAGGTCCCTCACAAAATCCTTATTTTAATAAGGTATAAATTTTGTCGACAACGAACTTGCATAAAGCCAATGGATCAATTCTTTAGGTATTTTAATGATATATTTACTTGGAATATATTTACTTAAAGCGAAAACAAGTCACCATACAACACAGTGTTGAGCATAATGTCAAATGTACCATAAAACTAAAAACTGACAATCAAGTTAATCTATTCTGTGAATATAATTACAGATTGATTATACCATAGAACAGTAGTAGTTGATGTTGGTTGCTTATATTACAATATGAATGGATATTATATCGGTTTAATACCTGGTGGTGTTTTAGCCGTTTATCCAGCTCACAAATAATCGAGCAATACTCAAATATAATAAAGGGCTAAGGTTCATATGCAAYATTACAATATAAAATATAGACGTGCGTAGTATGTGAATTTTTTTAAAATCAGATATACTAATATACTAATTATACAGTGTATAATTATTCAAGCACTGAAGCACGCTTACCCCAGCTTTTTATTTAATAATAAATTTATTTGAATATTGATTATTCCAGATCGAAATTTTCAAATTTTTGAGATTCAGAATATAATTTTCTTTTAGATTCTGAGCGGAGTGAGGAATGTATTGATTTTAC